AAATATAACATTAAAACAGCGATGCAGTTTCAATATAAACAACACATATTTTTACCTATACTAGGCCCGTAACAGTCTTCACTGTTGCTCGACTGGCAGGTCCGTCCGAGGAAGTATCACCTCACAGAAGACTGGTGTGAAGTGGAAGTGTTACATTTCTACGTTTCATTTGGTGAATGAGGTGATCGGGGCCCACTTTATTAAAAGATGACAACGCATCTGCAACCCTATGAGTGTTTCAAATATCCATGTGCGGCGGTAATCACTTAAGATCGGGTAAACCGCCAGCTCGCTTGCCAACTTCTCACATAGACATTACATGTTGTTTAATTATATTATTTAAGTACTTACATTACCTGGCAAGCGCTGCAGTTTTTAGTTTTGCATAGAGGTAAAACATATACAGAAGCATGTTTTAACCAATAATATTCTACAACGTACGCAGAACAAATCACCAATGTCATCACAATCGGTCAAAGGGGACAAAAATACAAAAATACGAAAAAAAATACAAAAGCTACAAAGCGTTCTATTTTCCCAATTGTTTACTGCACATTGACTTGTGTTTTTTTTACATTTTCATTAAAAGAGGCCATTGACTACAGATTTACACTTCTACATCTTGATTCGCCATGAGAGCTATTTAATGCCTGAAGCCAAGAACCGGCCGTGTAGTTAAAGGCTTTAATTAAAAAAAGCAACATTCTGTTACACATAATACAACGCATCGGTTAAGTGATGAGACAAAGATCAAATAGCCCTAAATCTATTTTCTATCATAATTACAATGATTTAGAAGCCTGCGGGAATTTGTTGTCTCTTTGCGTCGTTTTGTTGTATTAAGTTACGATTTTCTCAACATTGTAAATATATCTAATAAACATCAAAACATCAAAATTTAATTTTCATTATAATACAACATCGGATACTTAGTCTTACTAAGATTATAAGTTGATCATACAACGGCTGCATCTCTATTTAACGATAATTAAAAAAATATGTAAAAAAGGGGACTTTGTAAATCATATAGCTTCGATAAAATTCGTTTACTTCATAATGTTATAAAACACTTCAATTAGGACGCACATGCGTTGAAATATGAAAATAAGACACCGTTCGTGACGAACGGTACGCGCATCCAAATTAATACTATCCCATAATAACGCCGTTACAATACAAACACGTTGGCTTACACCTCGCACTTCATCTGTGCACTCTTAATAAGATTAGACCAGCTCCCAATTAAGATAATTGATTCCTCTCGGACCTCCGGGCCTCCGGTCGGTTAGGCCCAAATCTAAAAAAATGTGTTCGACATTATCGCCGCCCTCCATCGAGATCTAACGAGATAGGCCCTTTGGAAATATAGGAAACTGCTTTAACCGATTTCTTGGAACGTATCGTCTACTGATATCAAAAATCCAAAGTAGTAGATCACCGAATGTGCCCTTAAATTGCGATTAAATCCCCAAAAAATTAACTTTCTAACACAGGTTTTATAAAATTTTCACTCTTTGCCTTTCCTTGTTTAAATAACGATAACTGTATGAAATGACTATGAGAATTATTTCATATTACTGTTACAATGTCGTTACAAAACATTTCGCTAAGTTTTTAATTCGTCACAACGGATAGAGTCCAGTGACACAGCCGAGGTGTTGAGATTGGGATTAGAAAAGAACCTCCTTAAACAATGTCGGGCCGCGAAAAAAAAACGGGTACCGGCCATAAGCGTTTTAAAGTTAATCTTTGACGGGAGTAACAAACCCGCGCGTTATTTTTGTTACAACGACGCGCAACCGATAGGGCTTGATCGATGCGTTTTAAAATGAACACCAGATTGAATAATTTATTGGGACCTGCTTCAGCTTTTTTATTGAACAACGTTTAATCCGACGACTGACGTTTATCGGGCCGTTTAGAAATTCATTTAACAGATAATGGCTGCTTGTGTGACAATGTAAATAATTGTTGTGCACTAAATCAAAAAGTCCTTCAATCTCTTTCGGGCTATGTATTAAAATTGTTTTGATCTTGATTTACGTACATACATAGTAGTAACAGGTTATTCATGACAGCCCACTCCTGTTCAAAGCCCTCTGGATAAAGGGTATCAGGGTGTATGCGACTCCAAATCCGAATTGGCAGGCGTAATATATGTTCAAAATATCTAGCACCATTACCATATAAAACTGCAATTAATTACTTTACTTATGTTAGTACACTGAATTAATAGCGGGTTCATGATACAGAGAACACCTACACTCATACGATTATTAAGATCACGGATCACGGTATAAATAATCACAATGCTGCAGTTTAGACCGGGACAAATTTGTCTGTCTCAAAATAACTTAAATGAACTCTAAACATTTGGTGGAAGAAAAAATTCCCAAACCGTGGACGTCGCATTAAAAACGATTATCTTATAATAATAAAAAGTTTCAATAACACTCAAATTAAAAAAAATCAAAACTTTCACCTTGTAGTAAATGTTTCGGTATGTTTCTAGAAATTTAATTGAATTATGCCACATTTGTAGTTTAAATATTATACGGGAACCCGATTCGGGACGGGAACCCGATTCGCGCTTTTAGATCTTTTTATTAAGGTCAAATTTTCCACAGATTAAAAACCGTTGATATGCTATCTTGGTAATTTCTGTTTTGTTACAAGTAAGCGGCAAGAACGTAGTCATACTGTAAATTTATAATCAATGATAATTCGAAACAAATCAAACGATATCACTGTCATATCTATAACTACCAGCACTAACACATTGATTTATAAATTTAATGCTTATTGATTGTTCATTGTGACATAAATCCGTATATATTAAAATAATATTCTTAATTCCTAGGTGATTGAGAAAGAAGAAATTATAAAATTAATAACCAATGATTCAATTAATAATTTTACGGCTAATTAGAGCGGTTGAACGTATAATTAGTAATTCCTTGTTAATTGCTTTGCCTACTATGGATGGGGAAGCCATTAAAGGCACCGGCGTACTGACAGTTTTATAATTCGTTTAATTGAATGCCAATAGACGCTAGAATACGTTTTAAATGTCAATACCCCATGCTTGATGTTATAGGGTATAACTAAGAAATTGCAGAATATGGGCTAAAAGTTTGTAAATAACACGAAGAATATAGAATTTACATTTTAACATATAAAACGTATGTTTGTATGCATAAAAACTATGAAATCACCTGAAACCAAACCTAGATTATGGCGCTATAAAAATTTTTACATTTCGATAATGTAAAGAAAATACTTTTTATTTTTAGACTCAGGACTAACTTTTTGCTAGGTAAAAGGGTTTGAAATGGTTAATCCCCTTACGAGTAACCTTACATGGATTATGTATTGAAATAGAGTTACTTACAGGATACAAATAGCTACGTATATAAATTCAGCGGAAGCAGTTATATAGCGAACGCACACACGCGTTCTCTTATCGACAGCTAATCGATGGCGGCGTCCGCGCATCTTCGACGCATTCAAATTTCGAACGCGAACCGTCATGGCGGCCGATGACGTCCAAAAACCATAAGCATACATAAACACATCGCGCTATTGATTGATTTTTTATTTTTATTTTTTGTAACATAATAATATAATTGGTAAATTTCAAAAACTTTTTACAAAAACAATTAAATTAACAGTTTTTTAGCTATATAATATTCTAAAGTTTAACAATATTCGTGGTAATTTAACGACTCATTTTTAAACTTTATAACCGTTCAAAATAAATATTCATGGATAGAAATTGATTAACAAATGTTACTGTAAATTTACAACTCTCACATTCAGATTTCTAAATTTTCATAAGTAAACTAATAAATTAGTTTTGGTGTAATGTTTCGCCTCAGTTACAGAAATTTGAACTACTTAAATTTAATTTGACTTATTTAAGCTTTTTAAAAGTTGAACATTTTGATAATTATTATGTCACGACATCATAACAACTGCTTTATTTAAAACATCGCCTCAATCGATAATCAATCACAAATCAAAAAGACAATGCCAATTCAACACACTTTTTTAAAGAAACTCGTTTAAGTCTTTTACATTGAGTTGTGATTTAAAAATAAAATTAGAACTTAGGTATACTTCGTTGTGAAGAAAAATGACATAATAGATAACGTTAACCAAATACACTTTAAAAGTTATTTTCACTTTACCATTCTGGAGACTAATAATAATAATAATTATTAAATTGTATTTTTAGTAAATTGTATTCCATCAAATTTCTTACTAGATAATGCTTTATCTTCAAACAATGCAAATAAGATATAACCTGTAGGACATAAATCTAAACTTTATTCATAACTTTTAATATATTTTACAATATAAAGGGTTATACTAAGTGTGAGGCAGCCTTTTGTCTTTAAACTGTTTACCGTCGGATGTTTGCTAAAGTAACACAAGTAACAAGTATTGCTACTTGATAAAAGTAATATAATTTTATACTCTGATATTTGGTTTTACTTCACCACAAAGGTAATGTGATGAATACTAAACTTCTAATTAAAACAAAATTGATTTGATATGAGAAATCCTAACGAAATTGCATTTAAAAAGTCAAACAGACCTACTTCAAAATCTTCTGCCTCCTAAAGTGTCATCTGCATGTATTGATTTAAAAAATATTCACCCAGGCAGGCTTCATATCTAATAGAGAATTATATAATTGGACGAATTCAAAAAATAAAAGCAAGATTTAAAATAGGGACATAGCAGTATCGATTTTTCTTGTTCATATCTTTAAAATATTGTGTATGTAGAGTACATACTTTAACATAATAAACCTGAGCTCTATATGATTGTTAAATCATTGTGTACCTCAACTGTCCTCAACTGGCCGTGGTCACTCAAATGTCGATCACAATCACTTATTATCACTTTTAACGGGATACGAGAACACACTGATAACGTACGCTCCATTCCGTCCGCGGGTCCATTTTCGTCAGTCTATCAAGATAATTCTATCACCAGGTAAGGTCGGTATATGTCGCCTGGGGTGTACCAGCTTTGCAAGCGTTCCGTCGGATCGGAAGGGGACGCGAACGTTGTTTTGCTCTGGACTCCGTGGATTGCGCAGGCGCGGCGCGTTCGTGCTCCGTGTGCGCGGCACGTGAAGCGGCGTCTTTGGGACGCGACCCGACACTAAGCCAGTCGTGTGACTTTTTGTCGTGAGCGCGCAGTCGGCCGCCCTCGGCCCGGTTCGCAGAGCCGAGCAGCCGGCCGATCCGATTGGTCGACGCGGCCCGCAGGCGGCGGACTAGGGCGGCAACGTCGCCCGCGTTGGGAGTGTTCTCTTTCCGAAATTTCCCTTTTCTCTATTTGGGCGGACGAGTGCGGTGGTGTGCGTCAGTCGCGCGCCGCGCCTGATGGATGGCGGAGCGCACCAACAATGGTGGCATTTTTGTATTTCGTTATGGCACGCCGATGCTAGGTCGGTTGTTATGATTGTAAATATCAATTGTCCGTGTACAAGCTACGGACGGATGACAGTTAAATCCATAAATATTTAACGGATAGTCCGTATCGTAGATTGTTATAAATATGTCTTATGACGGGTCTGATATTATTGGCGTCGTTTTTATTAGATAATTCTTAATGTTTGTGAATTTATACTGTTAGTATGGGAATAGTTTATAAGAAGTCAATACATTTTCGTAAAGAAATTAATTTCAATATGATTATAAGCTGATATACTTTTATTCAATATTTATAACCTTTGAACTGAGCATTGATAGATTTCTTACCATCAAATATTTTTATAAGGCGAAACAAAGTACATTTTGTCATTAATAGTCTTTATGAGCTATTTACCTATGGAATTGAAAAATCGACAGATACCTATTGTAATATCAAAGCAAACACAAAATTTAATACTGTACTTACCGTTATAGTTAATATTCCCTGAGATTGGTAAATTCTTTAAAACAAGGATGAAAACAAAACAGATTGGATGAGAGATATTTTTTTATAATCATGTCATCAATTTAAAATAATTTTATCGCAAAAAGTAGGAAAAATCAAATCATATCAGCGTCTTTATCGTTGATTTTTTTTTTAAATTCGCTTATAAATTGCAGAACTCATATACAAATTACATAGAACATCTTTATTATTTCTTAATGTCAATGAACGAAGACCTGCTATATTTTTACACAGTGGTTAGTGGTACATTACCACTACTTGCCGCGTAAAACGTAAACCTATTTATGTTTTCATATGGCATGCTTTCCCCAGATTCAGACATAAGCTTTTAATATTTTATACAGTTTCATTGCAAGTACATTAGTCCTTCAGATGTTTCTGCAAACTGATTCCTGATCTCCCTGTATATAATATACATAGCTTCTAACTAAAAATTCACTTTTATCTGTAAAAGATTAAATAAAAGCTGCAATAGTTCAGTTCCCGGGCGGTAGCCTTTAATTTATTATAACCCAAGCAATTAAGTTCAAATCCCGATGCGGGCACAAAAGTAATTATCGATTGCAATTTTAATTGCTGAATTGTGAAAAGATCGGCTTAACTTCAAAATATTATGTTTACATATGTGTGTGTTGTATATTATTAATCTAAGGAAAGTTTTAGATATTTCACAAGTTATAATCAATAGTTATTAATTTTAACCGATTCAATAGTTATTAATTTTAACCGATTCGCGTAGCAAACGCTTACTGCGTCTTGAATTGTTGTAATTTTATGAATAATTCTGATGATAACAGGATCCCATCCCGATGGTAGAACCTTATCATCTTCTTTGTCAAAATTTAGAAGTTTCTTTTTTAATTCAATAGCCTCCAGAATTTTCCTTTGTAGGAAACGGTATTCTTTTGCGAGGATTTCTCGTCTATCTCATCTGACGTAACACACTTTCACACGTGTGATCTCTTTGTTCGTCCGATATAAGAGAGACCACAATCTTAATCAAGTTTCGCTTATCTTCCTCAGCAGGTTTTAAGATGATTTGATGGTAAACCAATTCTAGACGTAGGCAACCTCTGTCTCCTCTAAAATATGGAAACAGCAGGTATGGCTCCACTGAGGCTGGTTTCACTCGATCCAAAAAAAGTCCTGGAAATTTTTCATCCAGCAGAATTTGCTGAAATTTTAGCTTTGTGATTGAGTGGTCATTGTTACATACACAACATGCTCCCTGAAACAAAATATTGCTACTACCATTCATCACTTAAATATCTTTTTGTATGGGATTAAAGCCTAAAATTTATGGCGCAATGTGTGATATGCAATGCGGATAGACCAACCATGAGCTTAAAATTAAGTTAAACCGATTAAAATCCATAAACCTAGTTTTATTAAAAAAGACATGTTTTCTAAAAGTAAAGTAACAGCCTATATATATCCCACTGCTGGGCAAAGGTCTCCTACGTACAGAGGGTAATGTAGTCATTATCCACCACGCGGCCCCGCTGCGAATTGGCAGACTTCACAAATCTTCGAAATATTTTTTGTTATTATTACGAAAATAAGCAGGTTTCCTTACGATGTTTTCCTTCAGCGCGGAGCACGTGACAAGTCAGCGCGTAAAATTAACAATTTCATTCGTGCCAGCTCCGGGAATCGAACTCAGGTTCCTCGAGTAAATTGAATTAAAATCGAGCACCCGCACATTGAGCTCGAAAGAAACACCTTATGCTTATTTTTAACCCTGGCATCAAATTCAATGTATTTAAATAGTAGAAATATAGGCCACAGTTGGTTATATTTTGGTAAATTGGATTTTGAAACTCTCCAAAAGGTGTTATCGTACTTAAGGACCTAAGTAGTGCGGTTTGTACGGAAATGAAATAAGAAGAAGTAAGACATGATTTGTAATGCTTTATAAATAGAAATCGGCTAGTCTCCGTCTCATGGTGTATAAACACCAACTCCAATAATACAAGAGGTTACCTCTTACCTCTAAAGCCGCAGTCGGTACACTGATATTCTTATCTCATAGACCCGAGCTCATGGACACTCACAACACCTACGTTGTCATTCACTTCGTTATTAATTCGTTTTGTGAAATGTGTGTTCTAGATATTTACTATTAATAGTTCGTGCGTCATACTACTTCTCATCGCTTGGACAACTCAATAATATGATATCGCTTGTAAAAAAGTGTTTTGATTTTTATTGCACTATATAGAAGGATCATGTAGCAGATTCTGCCGTTGCATAAAACTAAAGGCCGCGGTCCCACGCAAGACCGGTGTACTATGGAAGTACTCGTATGTGTAATTGTGCGTAACCAGGTAGAAGTAAAGTAACAGCCTATACATGTCCCACAGCTGGGCAAAGGCCTCCTCTATAGAGGGGGTCTCCACTATAGAGAGGGTATCAGGGCATAGTCCACCACGCGGCCCCACTGCGAATTGGCGGGCTTCACATATGTTCGAAATATTTTTTTTTTGTTATTATTTCGAAAATATGCAGGTTTGCTCACGATGTTTTCCTTCACCGCGGAGCACGTAATAAGTCAGCACATAAAGTTAAAAACTTCATTGGTGCCGGCACCGGGGATCGAACTCAGGTTGCTCGAGTATATTGAATTAAAGGCGAGCGCCCCTCGACCTACATGTCTATCTAGAGTTGCCCACCATCGCGCAATTCCTGAAGTCGGCGTCGCGCCGATATTTCGATTCGGCCGCCGCGCATCCCAACCCACTAATCGTAGGTGCCGTCACCTACAGGCCCTTGCCGCTAAATATTACCGCCGCGATTACCGAAGACCGCGACACGTTCTCGACTTCCCTGACGATGAGACGACTATCGCCATCGAAAGGATCAAAAAACTTAAGAAACGCACCAACACACACCGCACTCACCGGCGAGTGCGGCAAACATATACTAGGTTCCGCCACGTACCTGGCAGGTTTTCCCCTATTAATGATAGAAGCGTTGCTGGACTTTCTTCCGCCACTTCTTCTCCCAGCGCCAACGCTCTCCGAAGTGGTAGTAATATTAGCTCTAGTAATTCCCCCAGTCAGATAATAGCTACCGATCGAGCCGAGGTCCGGCCCTCTCGGGCATGTTATAGACGCCCATGAGAACTAATACATTAATATATTATAACAGGTAATCACCGCCTGCTGATTCCACGTTTAAAAAAATTTAATATGAAAACAAATATTGAACTAGACATATTAACAGTCAATGAGACGTACTAAGCCCATACCAGAAATTGATTTATGTAACAATTTCTTGTATTTACACGATACCACCTTATTTCTATGACTATATTTATAATATAAATCCACACATAGTCCAAAACATAGATATACCATTTTCAGTTACTGTTCTAAAAAACGATCGACTTCGACGAACTTCTGAGAAAACGATCTAGCTAGGTTTAATTTTTAGAAAATGTCCTTTTATCCTTGTTTTCAAGGAATGAAAAATATCATTCGAAAATGACGTTAAATTTCGGCGAAAAATAAAATGTTATAATATACTCGGTCGATAATCGGGCGGCCCCGAAACAGAAGGCCGCAATGTCACAATCATTTACACACTTATTTTTTTTCCTTTTTTTTTCTATACCAGATCATTTTTTATTTTTTTAACTTACAAAATACACGATTTACCAAAAAATACCTCCAGATGCTATATATTATAAAAACATACATATTAATTTATAAAATCTAAATAATTTTATTACAATAATCAGTTTAACTGTGGTAGAGCCACGCAACAGTCTTCATTGTTGCACGAATGGGCAGGCCTGTTCGGGGAAGTACCACGACCTCAAAGTAGACCGGCCTGAAGTGGAAGTGTTACTCTTCTGCGTTTCGTTTAGTGAGTGAGGTAACCGGGGCAAACTTTATTAAAAGGTATCAACGCATATGCAACCCTACGGGTGTTGCAAATGTTGCAAAAGTAATTGTCCACAAATAGAAGAAAGATTATAGTCATATCTAGCGAAATTTGTCTAGTACACTTTACAGTTCTAATAGTGTTTGGACGCGTTGTACTTCCTCATGTCTCTACAATAATTTACGTTCACGGTTTACACTCATATTAAAAAAAAATCAAGAGTATTTTTAAAGAATCTCTCTAAATACTAATACGGAGACTAGCACCATTCCCAAGCGACGTACACCCGCAGAAAACGATAGAAAAAGCCTCAAACAGACTTTCGGATGCGCCGTGTAAGACACGGATTCGCTCGCGAACCCCGTGATTTATTCCATACAGCGAGGGCCATAAATCTGTCCGGCGCAACACTATCTAGCTAGTGTTGGGCATTAATGGCTAATGACATAACACTGGATTAACGGCCACCGAAACTGGGGCATGAGTTTCCTTTACCATTGAAATCCGAGCAGAACCAACAAAGAAGGTTAGTTTCGTTCAAAGAAACTTCTTAACTCGCTTTTATTTTTCTATTTTCAGGCAGTGTAGA